TGTGTGCGCGCCTATTCATCATCACACACAACTCAATCATGCATATATAGAATCAGAGTATACATATAAACATATGTGTATGAATTACTGTGTAGGTAGGTTGTCCATCAATCAATCATGTGCTCATCAGCTAGTAATAGTCACCATTTACTATTGAATAAAGATTGGAATGCGATTCTTGATGCGCTGATAGATATGCATACTTGTACGCCTTAATTGCATGTATTTGTCGATCTAGTATCGTTCTCACTACTACTGTTCAGGTATCTATTAATCTAGGAGTAGTATATATCAAGTTTTCTACTACTTGATTCAGAAGAAGTACGCTCCAATTTATGCTACAGTTAACAAGTCAAGTAAAATACAGATTGTGACCCCAAAAAAATAAAAATTACAGATCGTGGATCTGTAAACATCCATGGATCAATCAACTAAGCAGTAGCAGTAGAAGCTCTCTGTTTGGGCCGTTCCTGCCATATGCTCGGTTTTTCTTCTGGTTAACCTTCTTACTAAAATCAAACCTGGCCGAAGTAAGTTTGGTAAGCAGCGGTAAAAACCAAATTCTTTTGTGCCAGCACTAAAACCGAAAATTTGGTGTTTGTTTTTGTTTTTGTTTTTGGCATCGGTTTGGTCTTTGGTTAGTCGGTTTTTAGGCCCACCCCGACTGATTGATATGCACACCAGAACGCCTTAATTGCATGTATCTATCAATGTAGTATCATTGTCACTAGTGCTCCATCCGTTCCTTTATATTAGGTGTATTAGTCTTTCCCAAAAAAATCACAATGTAAGGTGTATTTCTCTTTTCCTCACAGTTTTCCATGCGTGTCCTTCCTCCATCTATTACATGCCTTAGATAAAAAGTACTGTGTATTCCCAATAGGAAGGTAGTAAAAAAAGAATATCTCTACCTGATTGCATGCACTCACATTTCTCTCTCTCCCATCCACTGATTGATTTTATTCTGGTGCAGCGAGATTTAGTTGCCTTTTATTAGGCTGCTAGTTATTTAATTATCATTAATTAACCTGCTAGCTACATACTCCCTCCGTTCATTTATGTAAGGTGTATTATTTTTGCACGGTGACCAATGCACATAATTATAGACATGTTAGGACGAAATTACCTTGGCAAATTTATTGGTTAGTGGCAAGTAAATGAGTTAGTCCAGGAAAATAAGAGATACATACAATCGACATAGAGATAGTTTCCTTCTTTTGCTAAAAGGAGATATATAGACAATCAGGAGAGAGATATTTTCCTTTTTCTGGAGGGCTAACAAGAGAATTATGAGGTTCTGAAATTTTACCAAATAACAAATGTGCCTTATATAAAGGAACGGAGGGAGTAATTAGGAAAGGGTATTTTGTCCAAAAAAAATTCTTAAATTTGTGCCTTGGTCACCGCGCCAAAAAAATGCACCTTACATAAAGAAACGGAGGGAGTATATATTATCAACTTTTCTACTAGTTGATTCAAAAGAAGTACTGCTCAAATTAATGCTACAAGTTAACAAGTCAAGTAAAATATCAATCGCAACGCAAAAAAAAAAGAGTAAAATATCAATCGTGGATTTGTAACCTTGACCGATCAATCGATTGAGACGTAGGAATACATCAATCGACGGATGAGGCAATATCTATACACAATTAGGCTACAACACTTCTTTATATAAAGAGGAGGTCCGGAGTTAACTAAGAATTATTCAGCAAGGTCAAGGGGTATAATGGTTGATGTGAGATGACACAATGCATGTGCAGGCAGGGAAGATGGATTGATCGATGAGACGACGCCGGGTCAAATTAAGCATGGCATTGCTGGTTAGACATTGATCTTTGGAACTCTATGTCAGCTAAATATATAGAGTGACGAGTTGCATTACTCTTTTTTTTACTATTGAATACCAATCTAAACAATTGAGTGACAGCTGAAAACTGAATAAAGATTGTGACGCATCGCTGTTCTTTCATTGCTCATATTCAGTGTTCACTCCTAGTCCTAGCTACCTCCACCAAGCAACCAAGAAACCATTGATATTCATGCGTGCTGGCACTACAGTACTGCAGACTACAGTAAAGTGACTAATTAATTGGTACAAGTAAGACTTAATTGTGTGATTTGACAGATTTACATCGTAGTGGTATCCTTCAAGTAATCATGTGATTTAAGCTAGTAGTAGCGGCGGCATAAAATTCATTCACACGGGAGGAATGCATAATCTAGCTTGTCCTGCATGGGTGCATGCATTATTGCTGGACACGAGGGAGAACTAGACCACTCACTCCATGATTCACTCATATTCCCTCCCTCCCTCCCGAAATGTAAGACATTTTTTGAAACTATGAGGAAGTACATTTCAGGGTTCAAGTTGAATAACATAGGGATAAAATTCATCCATGGATGGTGTTTTCAGTCCTTTTTCTTTGCCAGGATTGTTTTCATAGCCTTTGACAACTCTATGCCTCAAATGAGACAAAAGCACAGGCTGTCATGTGAGGAAAAAAAATATTTTGACTCCTCATCCCCTGGATTTCATCCAAAATTGTAGATTTGTTATGCGGCGCGAAGCATAAAAAAGGATGTATGTTAGGTTGGATCAGAAGCCCACTTTTCTATCCGGCCATAAGCAAAGGAAAATGAATCCCAGTACCGGGCCAACCAAGTTTGGGACCTTTTTTCCCCTGCGTTTTTTAATTCCATTTGTTGTTTCTTTCCATTTTTTACTATATATTAATATTTTCTGTTTAGCTTTTTTGTTTCTTATATACTTACTTTCACTTTTCTTTCCTTTTATTTCGTCCTTCATTATAAAAGCATACATACAATATTAAACGGATAAACATATAGTCTAACACATATGAATAACTTTCATGATTGCTTTCAAATATATGGCCCTTTTTGAAATACGGAATATCTTTTCTAGTGCATAGGAACATGTTTTATATTAGATGAACATTTTATTTTAAACATATAATTAATTACATTTAAGTAAAATAACATTTTTTTTATTTTACATTATTATGTTTCCCTCAACTAGTAAGCAAATGAAAAATTATTGCCCACGCCGTGCCCAACAAGGCAAGGACCTCTCTCTCTCTCTCTCTCTCTCTCTCTCTCTCTGTTGTGTATGTTTATTTTCTTCTTCTTTTCCATTTTCGTTATTTTACTTAATTTTCGTTCATCTAATTTTTATTTTGTTTATTTTTCACTCTATTTATTTTCTATTTTTTATTTATTTATGAGAAAACGCATAACATATAAATTTGTATAAACATATAATCTGGAGCATATGTATCTTTTTTTAAAATACATGGGCTCTTTTGAAATACATTAATATTTTTTCTTCTGCATAATAACATGTTTTCTACTACGAGATGAAGATTTATTTTTAAACATGTATTGCTTTATTATTTGCATTGAGGTACGAATTTTTTTAGTTACTCTATGTTATTTCCCCCCAAATTTAAAACTATTTTGTACAAAATATTTTATAATTTACTAAATAAAACACATTTAATAAAAATAATAATGATAAAATAATAATTATTGATGGGCCGTAGTAGTGGTCGGACCATGGAAAGTAGCTTGTGGTTGGAGCTTGCTTATTGCATGCTATAAGGTGGCAAATAGGAGCTCCCTATATTGAGGAAAAAAATGTCAAACCAGTTCACCTGGGTTCAAGTCTTAAAAATTGTAAAGCATCATACTCATGTTTGATTACAAATAAATGCATAGCAATCAAACGAGCTTTTAATGACAAGAGAGACTAGAGGCAGTTATGATATGAGCATGCAGTACCGGCAGAACTAAAATACATGCATGCACCACAATGCCTGTTTTTTTGTTTCTTTTCCTTCTTCCTATTGTTGTTTCTTGTCTATTTATTTTTATTTTCGCTCTTTTCCTATTTTATTTTTACTTTTACTTTTTTTACTTACTTTCATTTCCTTTTATTCCATTTTCCCTTTCCTCTTTGGGAAAATAGAGAACATTTTTAAACCCTCTATGAACATATATTCAGCTACTTATGCACGACTTTGTATGATTTATTTTTTGAAATGTATGAATCTTTTAAAGCACATGAATATTATTTCGGTGCTTAATTTTTTACTATGGGATTATTATTTTGTTTGAACATATAAAAATTTACATTTAAGTACATGAACATTGTTTCCAACTCCATCCGATCCATATTAATTGTCGCACACTTAGTACAACTTTGTACACGACAATTAATATGGATCGGAGGGAGTATACTTTTTACCTATTGTGAAACTAATTTTCCTAGATATAATATAAAGTTTATTCAATAAGAATCCTACTTTCTGATTTTTTTTATTGATGGGACACATCTGTAGCCGGCCCATTTAGAGTCACTTCACATGGGAGCTTGCCTATCTTTTACTTGTGTTTTTTTTAGACAATCTCGCGAAGCTTTATTAAACTGCACCAATGTTTACAGAGATAAAGGATAGATTACCGGGATGTCCTAACCAAACATGGCGACCCACCCCTAGCTTCAAAACATGCTTCGCTAGATTGTGAGCTTCGAAATTCGAGCTCCTAAATTCATAACCAATATTGTAAACTGCAAAAAAAACACTATGCTCCATGATTTCATGTAGCATGGCACCATAGCTAGTGGGGTTCCTTCGCTTGAGATCTTCAACTACAACCTTACGACCACGCATATAGTGATGGTCACGGGCTCTTTGGCCCCTCAGGCCCATCTATTGCGTGCCCATTCAACCAAATGTACTCAAGCCGAGCTCCATAAATGGCATTCTCATCACCCAAAAAAAACTAGTAGCTTTTCAAATAATGGTCTTGTCCCTTGCAGTACAAATTTAAAAGCATCATGCCCATGTTTGCTTGCAAAGCTAGTGTCATTTCCAGAAAAAGATAGACTAGCTATAGTTCTGATAGGATCATACAGTACTAATAGAATTAACATTGATGCACTAGCATAGCTAGAAAAAAAATCATTGAATGCATCTCCATCAAGCTCTAAGCTTACGGAAGGTCATGGCTGCGCCGTCCAGTGGCCTTGGGTGTGGAAGGTAATTGATCTTCGCATCAGGATTCAACAACTCCCATCTGAAACAATCGTTCGTATGTCAAACTAGGATCAAATGTCAGTTTATGCAATAAATAAATCAATCAATCAAATGCCAAGATCAAAATAAGCAAATGAATTCTACTGATCTCATATTTAGTGATTACATAGGATTTGAAGTACTGTATATCATCACTCACTCATAACCAATGGAGAGGTGATGGAGCATGATGGTGATCTGCAACTTCGCGAGCATGTTGCCGGCGCAAATCCTATATCCGCCACCGAATGCTTGGTACGTCCCTGGCTTCACTTGTTTCTGCATTCAGCAAGTTCTTCGTTGACAATTGATGCGTACATGATGAAGTTGCATCCATGATCAATGAGTGAAAGACAACAACTTACATCCCATCTTTCGGGGTTGAAGGTGAGGGGGTCCTGGTAGTAGACTGGGTCGGTGTGCAGCGACCTCACCCACACGAGCACCGGCCACCCTGTCGGGATCGTGTACCCACCATACTCCACGTCCCGGTTCGCGACGCGGTGGACCATGGGGGCGACGTTGGCCATTCGGATCGTCTCCTCCACCACCTTCGCCGTGTACTTCATCCTCGGCAGGTCATCATGGGTGATCATCAATGAACCACCTTTGCTTTCGCTCAGTGTGCCACGTTCTCCTCTCGGAGCTTGGCGAGGGCGGGAGGGGATTTGGCCAAGTGGTAGGTAGCCCACATGATGGCGCTGGCCGTGGATTCATAGCCAGCGACCACGAGGTTGACCATGTTGTCCACTACCTCCTCATCGCTCAGCCTCTTCCCCTACTCATCATCGGTGCACATCAGCCCGCTCATGAGATCATCACACTTCTTGTCCACCTTCTTCCTTGCCTCCAGCTCATGCCGGAAGACCGCGTTCAGCTTCCGACGGCACTGCACAAGTTGTTAAATCCCTCTACAGTTATTTTGATGATTTCTGTAAAAACAAGGAGCAAACAAATTTCCTTGACTCTCTCTTGATAGTGTAACCCGATCCATTTGTTGGATTGTATGAAAAAAACCAGATTACCTTGCGAGCACCGTGAAATTTTGTCCCTGGAAGATCCAAGGGGAATGCCCTGAGGCCAGCCATCAGGCTGCCGAACCACTGGTCGATCTGCTCCGTCAATGGCGACGGCTCCATGCTTATGAACATTTTGAATATGTTCGCGAACGTCACCTGTGCAATTTAAGGAGCATCACTATTGACAGAGAAGAGAAGCACATGCATGCTCGCCGAGGACTGGCTAAGTATTAATGAATAAATTTCTTAGAGTGAATTCCATTTTTTACCTTGTAGTTGTACATTTGTGACACATATTATCCTATTTAGCGGAACTTTTATCGAAATGTCAGATTTTGGAGACTTTTAACACGGTTTTACCCCAGTTTTACATTTTGTCTGTTTATGGTCGATAGGATCGGCATGTTGCGTCATTGATTTGTAAAAAAAATTGTAAGGATCGGAGGGCATCATTGGCGATCTTGTCCAAGCTTCTCTTGTCTATCTATTCCACTCCTTGTGGCCGTCCACATGTTTTTGGATACAGGGCGTCACCTCACACCTTACCTGATGGACACGCATCAAAAAACAAGGGTCCAAAGATTTCAAAAGGGGTATTCTAGACGAATTTTCACTCGAAGGGGTAATTAGTGTCACAAATGTATAAATATGGGGTAAAAAGTGGAATTCACTCAATTTCTTACTTTCTTGATCTCGGTGGAGGCAACGATTGTCCCCATGTCTGCCCACGCGGCCAGCGCCGCCACAACACGCGGCTGCACGACGGCGGCGATGGTCCGAAGGGAGCTGGGGCGGTTGATGGCGGTGAGGATGATCCCACGAAGCCTAGCGTGGCTGGCGCCCTCGATGTTGACCATGGACTTGTGGCCGATGAGCTCCGGCACGGGCCACCGTATGCCGAAGTTATCGGCGGACTGGAACACGAACTTGTTGGCCGTCGGAGAGCACGCGATGACGGCGGGGGAGCCGAAGAGGTGCGTCCGGTAGATGCCGGCCCCGGCGCCGTGCGCGCGCCTCTTTGCGGCGATGAAGTCGTCCGGGCGGCGCGCGAGCTTGAAGTGCCAGACGAAGGAGAGCGTCTCGCCGAGGAAGGGCAGGCCCATGTGGCCCGGCGGGAGGCGGCGCCGGCCGCCGTGCCTGAGGAAGAAGGCGGCGCGGTACCACGCGTCGGCGGACTGCCAGACGGCGAGGCAGAACAGCGGGACGGCGCCGAGGGTGAGGGCCAGCCACCATGCCCACTCAGCCACACCAACTCCCACTGCTATCGCCATTGATCTGCTACTGCTAGTACCTGGAGAAGCGGAGGTAGTTGTGGGTGGGGGGCGGGGGTGGGGGTGGGGGCTAGGGTTTTGGAACGGCAGCGCAACGGCGGGGAGACGGGGTGGGGGGAGTGGGGCCGGGTCGGGAGGTCGACGTGGCGTATCCGTCGGGTCCCAGAAGAATCCGGACGGTGAGGAGTGTCTCGTGGTCTCGTGGACTAGTGGCACTGTACTCTTGCTGCACGCTCTAATTTTCTGCCGTTTTTTTATCACATTAGAGTAGCTCCCATCTTCAAGATTTTGTCCTCTTTGGAGCATCTCCAGCCGTTCGGTCCCCCAGGACGCATAAAAATCGCCCCCTGAGGGCGAGCCGGCGATTTTTTCGGCGCTGGGACGGTTGTGCGCCCAGTCATCGTCCCCAGCTCGCCCCCAGTCGTCGATTTTGACCCACTTTTGAAGTCCCATTTCGGCGAAAAAGGCCCATATGGGCGAGAATAGGTCCATATTCGGCGTGGTTCGCCGTGGCTCGGCGTTTAATTGTCAACATAAATATTTTTTTATCACATATTTCATCACAGAAATTTCAAGTACTTCAACAAAATAGTACAACAACAAATAGTTCAATACAAATTATATAGTTCAACAAATAAAAACTCATATTTCATCACACGTCGCGCCCCGGTGTCGCCCTTGAGCCTCCATAGGTGCTCTATCAGATCTTGCTGCAGTTGATGATGCACCTGTGGGTCTCGGATCTCCTGACGCATACTGAGATAGGCAGTCCAGGTTGCCGGTAGCTGGTGATCAACTTGGGCAAGAGGACCCTGCCGGTGGTATGGTTCAGTGTCAAACACTGGCTCTTCCTGCTCGCTCTCAATGATCATGTTGTGCAAGATGACACAGCAGGTCATGATCTCCCATATTTAATCTTTCGACTAGGTCTGAGCGAGGTACCGGACAACAGCAAATCGAGATTGAAGCACACCAAATGCGTGCTCGACATCCTTCCTGCAAGCCTCCTGAATCTTCACAAACCAAGCGTTCTTGCCTCCAGGCACAGGGTTTTTGATGGTCTTGATAATTGTCGACCATCTCGGATAGATGCCATCAGCTAGATAGTACTCCTTGTTGTAGTGCCGCCCATTGATCTCGAAGTTCACCGGAGGAGAATGACTTTCAACAAGCTTGGCAAAGACAGAAGAGCCCTGCAGCACGTTGATGTCATTGTGAGTTCCTGGCATACCAAAGAAGGAGTGCCAAATCCAGAGGTCCTGTGTGGCCACCGCCTCAAGTACCACACTGCAACCGCCTTTGGCGCCTTTGTACATCCCCTGCCAAGCAAATGGGCAATTCTTCCATTTCCAATGCATGCAGTCGATGCTTCCAAGCAACCCAGGAAATCCTCAAGTATTGCGGTCCAAATACTGCCATCATTGCCCGGCAGAACTTGTAGAAACACTCTATGCTGGTGGACTCGGCCATGCGCCCATAGTCGTCCTGTGAGTCACCGGGAGCTCCATATGCAAGCATCCTCATCGCTGTCGTGCATTTCTGGATGGAGGTGAATCCAAGTTTGCCAGTGCAATCCATCTTGCATTTGAAGTAGTTGTCGAACTCCCGGATGGAATTCACAATCCTGAGGAAAAACTTTCTATTCATCCGATAACGGCGCCGAAATGTTCTGTCGCCGTGAAGTGGAGTATTGGCGAAGTAGTCGGAGTAGAGCATGCAGTAGCCTTCGAGATGATGCCGGTTCTTTGCTTTCACCTGCCCCGGCGCCGAGCCACCTCACCGCAGCTTTTAATTGCTCGCTAGCAGCTGGGCGAGGGTGGCGAGCACCATGAGATGCTCTTCTTCCTGGACGTCGGCCTCGGCTTCCTCCTCCAGCAGCGCGGCGAGCACTTCCTCGTCATCCGAGTCCATCGCCGAGGCAGGCAAATCGCCGAACACCTTGTGCGCGGTGGGCGTGCACCCGCCGCCAAACTGCCCCTCCGCGGCCGGAAAGGGCGGCCGGAAACGCCCAGCTGGTGCCGGAGGGGTTGTCGCAGCGAACCTATGCTTTTTTTCCGGCGGGGAATGGCTCTACCGGTGAAGAGCGGCGGGGCGGAGCCGGGATATACCTACTTGCGGCCGAGAGCGCGGGGGGTGGGAGGCAGTCGGGGAAGAAAATCTTGACTTTTCACCTAACGGCATGGGCCAGCCGCGCTTTTCCCTTGCGCCAGAGCCCCCAAACGCCCCCCAGCGCGCCGGGTTCGGCCTGCGGCCGCCAGGCGGAAAAAAGGGCCGAACCTGTGCTTTTCGTCGTCCTGGGGGCGCGACTGGGCCGTTTTTTGGCACCGGCACCGAAAAAGTGGCCTGGGGGGGCTGTTGGGGGCGCGGCTGGAGATGCTCTTATAACCCAAAGTAGCTATGGCCCAAAGTAGCATCTCTGGGTTGGACGTCGAGATAAAGAAATGAGTCTCGAATCACTCGAGGTTGGTGTTGAAGGTGACCACCACAACTCGCCCTCCTCGTCCCCGAACCCATACACTCCTAAATAAACAGTAAATTCGAGAACTTTACCCTCAACGGATGAGCCTCAAATCATTTCGGAGTTGGTTTTGAAGGTGACCACCATACCTCTACATACGTCTCCGGAGCACACCGCAAGCAAAATGAATCTTTTGGAGGAACCTCTAACCATTTAGGAGCCCAAGCTTCAAGAGTAACAACTTGGTGAAGATGAGCGAGTTGGGGAGTGTTGTGGAATTGTCACGGCAGATGTCCTAGTGTGAGGACTTAATCGTGGAGCCATCGCAACTAGGTTAGCTTAAAGGGGTTAAACGAGACAAAGGACACGGGAGTTTATACTGGTTCGGCCCCTTGCGGTGAATGTAAAGGCCTAATCCAGTTTTAAGGTGGTATTGCTTATGTCTCGAATACTAGGGAGCGATTCCGCTTGACCTAACTTTCGATCTCTTGTTTTTTTTTTGCCCTAAACCATCGTCGGGTCGTCCCTTCATATACATAGGTTGACGCCCAGTGGCTCACGGAGTCCCGACCGGCTCATAAACAACGTGTCCGGCTCGGTGACTAATTATACTTGCCTTACAATATAAGTCATACACATATGGCGGTTTACCCCTATGGGCCTTAAGTCGCATTTGGTCTTTGGGCCCTTGCTTCATGAACCACATCTTCATAGGCCGGCTTTGTATTGATGAATCGCCTTTGGTATAACCCGGCCCTTCTTGGCGGGTCATACCCAATAGTCATATCCCCAACAGGGAGGCACAAAACAGTTTGGTAGGAATGTAGATCAGATGAATCTCCTCCAATCCCCAAAGAAATGAGTCTCGAATCACTCGAGGTTGGTGTTGAAGGTGACCACCACAACTCGCCCTCCTCGTCCCCGAACCCATACACTCCTAAATAAACAGTAAATTCAAGAACTTTACCCTCAAGAGATGAGCATCAAATCATTTCGGAGTTGGTTTTGAAGGTGACCACCATACCTTTACATACGTCTCCGGAGCACGCCGCAAGAAAAATGAATCTTTTGGAGGAACCTATAACCATTTAGGAGCCCAAGCTTCAAGAGTAACAACTTGGTGAAGATGAGCGAGTTGGGGAGTGTTGTGGAATTGTCACGGCAGATGTCCTAGTGTGAGGACTTAGTCGTGGAGCCATCACAACTAGGTTAGCTTAAAGGGGTTAAACGAGAAAAAGGACACGGGAGTTTATACTGGTTCGGCCCCTTGCGGTGAATGTAAAGGCCTAATCCAGTTTTAAGGTGGTATTGCTTATGTCTCGAATACTAGGGAGCGATTCCGCTTGACCTAACTTTCGATCTCTTGTTTTTTCTTGCCCTAAACCATCGTCGGGTCGTCCCTTCATATACACAGGTTGACGCCAGTGGCTCACGGAGTCCCGACCGGCTCATAAACAACGTGTCCGGCTCGGTGACTAATTATACTTGCCTTACAATATAAGTCATACACATATGGCGGTTTACCCCTATGGGCCTTAAGTCGCCTTTGGTCTTTGGGCCCTTGCTTCATGAACCACATCTTCATAGGCCGGCTTTGTATTGATGAACCGCCTTTGGTATAACCCGGCCCTTCTTGGCGGGTCATACCCAATAGTCATATCCCCAACAGGGAGGCACAAAACGGTTTGGTAGGAATGTAGATCAGATGAATCTCCTCCGATCCCCAAAGAATCACAGTGTTGGGGTGGATGTGTATGGAGATCTCAAGATTTTAGGGTTTGGTTATGGTGGATGAGAGCTGGAGGAAGATTTGTGTTGAAGGTAAAAGAAGGTCACTCTTTTTGGGGAGAAAAGTGACTCCGGGCACCCAGACCATCCTGGGGAGGTAGAAACTCACTAGTGCCTCCGGGCACCGAGAGAAAAGTGACTCCGGGCAGCCAGACTTCTGGGTGAGGTCACTCTTTCTTGGAAATCCCTTCCGAAATCTCTTAGCATAGATGGAAAGACAATGAATGGAAATGGAATGAGTTCGCCAACTCTCTAATCTCCACAACCCTACTTAATAGTATGTTTTCTCCTATGACTCAAAATCAAACGAAAAACTTTCCGAGTAGCCGAAGAAAAGCACCATATTTTGTCCTTTTTGAGTAAGAGGTCACAGAAGTCTGTAGGCAAATAAGAGATACCAATGTGGTGAAGTAAACTTGACAACCGACATTAGATCTTGCTAATCCTATTGTTATCAACACCAAATTGTAATTGAGTGACAATGCACTCTCAAAAAGGTAGGGGGAGATGCTCGAGGAAGGTTACCAAGTGAGCGTGTCTTCTTTTAGGAAGATAAAATGATGGTGTATTTTCTCAATAGCGAAGAGCTTCTAGCGAACAATCAAGTACAATTTCATTGAATCCTAGTCACGTATGGCATTCCACAGGTGAAAGGGATATTTTGGTTTGTACCACATTTACTTTATCAACATTATCTTCTCCATTCAATGGTTAATTTATCATTGTCGACTTCTTTTCCGGCATTATTTACTTC